TGTGTGTGTGTGTGTGTGTGTGTGTGTGTGTTGTGGGCATAAGACTGAGAAAAACTGGATAAAGTATGTTTACTGCATTGAAGTCTATGAGGGAGAGAATAGTTTAAAAGTATTATATTTTAGGGCATTATGTTTATCATAAGAGTACAGAATGAGGATTGCAGAGTGGATTATATTTGGGGTGGGGGTGGGGTTGGGGTGTGTGTGGGGGGAATTGTGTACCAATGAAGGACCAACGAAGGAGTTTTTCTTTTGCTTTCCAAGGAGAGGAGTGAAGGGGGGGGGGGGCGCAGGAGAAAAGTGCGACAATGAATGAATGGAATTCCAAAATCTCTGTAGATATTTATTGAAATAAAAGAAATTAAAGTAGATAATATCTCCAAAACATTCAATAATAGCTGAAATATACACCACAATTTCTATTTTATGTCTATTTTCATATAATTAATAGAGCTATAAAAAAGAAAGAAGCCTGCAAAACTATAAAAAAGGACACAGAATATAGCTGAGTTCTTTTTTTTTAACTTATTTAAATCTATATTTTTTATCTATACAATTTCCATAATGAAAATACAGTACTTGGAATTTTATGTAGAAACTGTGATCTGGAGAAGTAAATTATGTTGTTAGTCTCAAAAAAAATTACTAAAAAGAATACTCCATTTGGCAGAGGACTAACAAGTTCACAGGCAAAACCAGAATAAAATTAATGCATAGCAATTAACCCACAATGGAGATGAAGTTATAAAAAAGAGAATAAAACAAATTCAAGATTTTTAAGTGAGGAGATGCTCCATCTAGTTTGTTTAGAAAAACGCAAGAACAATTTTTCCTCTGTCCTTCCTCTATCACTACCTGCCTTTAAAGGTCATCTTTGACATCTAATTAGAGTTTTAGACTAACTTTATCTTACCTTTTTCTGTAACAAATTCAGAATAGTCCACTTGGGTATATCTCCAGGCATATTTTTAGACCCATACTTAGAAATGATTAAATCAAATTCTTCACGCCATATACCATGAACCTATTATAAATGGAATAAAAGTGAAAACTTGATAGAAACTTTCCCTGTTAGCTGTCCAGAAACTGTCTTTCTTTAACTTACTTTCCAGCTTTTAAAAAAAAAATACTAATTTATTTACAAAATTAGAATATCTTGTTTTCCAGAACAGATTCTTCTAGTTTACCTCACCCCTATTCATCAAATTGTACAACCCCATGATTAATCCCCCCTCTCCCTGTACTTCCAGCTTTTTATATTATAGAAAGCTGTAGCAGTCGTAGGAATGGTTTTTGACTATAAAACAAAATGGATTTCCCCCTGTAATAAGGGTGCAGTTGCTCTCTAGCCTTCTACTTGTCCTTGCAACTTTTTAAACTTTTCTGATTACCTTTATACATATGGGGGTTTATTCTCCTTTGAAATGGTTTTCACATCTTATGTTCTTCTTCATTAAGATATTAAATATTCATATATATTTATTTCATCTTTACAAGACAATTTTATATTTAAAAAAATTAACAATGGTAATATAACAATGACCCCATTTGGAGAACAAGGCACAGAGGAGGGGGGACTAAGGGTGAGGCAAGACACTCTGTGGGAGGCAAAACCTTGCAAGCTGCCCCCTCCATCCCCTCCCCCCCCCCCCCCAACATAGGTATGTTCTCAGAATAGAAGAATGTGCTGGTTTAACATCTAAATTCTAGAACATTAGGTATATTTTAATACTAACATATAATCTTTTTTACAAGCCATTTATATTGTACGTCAATAATTAACACTCTTGGTACCAGCAGACAGGAAATCAAAAGACGAATTACATTGAGAAAGTATGCTGTCAGGGACCTCTCCAGAGTACTGAAGAGCAACATTGTTGGTCTGGAAACTAAGGTGCACCTGATCTAGTCCATGGTTTTCAGTTACTTGCTATTCATCATAAATCTGGAGAATGACTAAGGATGACAGAAAGAGAATTGATGCTTTTGAGCTGTGGTGCTGGAGAAGAGTAGTGAATATACCATGGACTTCCAGGAGAACAAACAGATCTATCCTGGAGATGGACCAGGCTGCTCCTTGGAGTCAAGGATTCTGAAGCTTCATCTGACATACTTTGGACATGTTGTAAGGAGGGACCAGTCCTTGGAGAGAGACGTCATGTTTGGGAGGTTGGAGGGACAGTACAGGAGAGGAAGACCTTCAATGAGATGGATTGACTCAGTGACTGGGATAATGAGGACCAGTGTGTTAGAGACAATAAGGTTGGCACAGGATAGAGCAGGTTTCAGGGCTATTGCACATAGGATTGCTATGAGTCGCAAGCAACTCAACATCACATAACAATAAAACAACTTCAATAATGCCAAAATTCAAACCAGTTGCCAGTGAGTCCACACAAAACATTACAAAGACCAAATATTGTCACCACTTGGGAAATAAGAAGATAATTTATTTTTCTTTCTATGAATATTGAAAAGAAGTGGAGATTTGAATTTCTATTCAGTGCTCTCTTATTGTACAATGCTGGTTTTGAAAAATAAAACTAAACACCTGGTAGGAATCTTAGAAAGAGAAAACCTATTTAAGTTAAATGCTTACTCAGTTATTTCAATGTTAATCTAGATCTTGACTGAACTATAACACAAAGAATTAATAGTAACCTCACTGTTGTTGTTGTTGTTGTTGTTAGGTGTTATTAGGTATTGTTGTTAAGTCTCTGACTTCTAGAGACCCAATGTTCAAAAAACCAACCTGCCTGATTCTGTGCCATCTTCACAATCTCTTGTTTTAAATCCATCTTTGCAGTTACTGTGTCAACTCATTTCATTGTGATGGTTGCTCTCCTTTAGAGACTATTTCTTTTAAGCATGATCTCTTTATCCAAATACTGGCTCCTATTGATAATATGTCCGAAGTTCATAAGGCTAAGTCTCACAATCTTTGGTATGAGACATCAAGGAGTAATCTGGCAGTGTTTATTACAAAACAGATTTGTTTATTCTTTTGGATGTCCATGATATAGTCAATATTCTATGTTAACAGCATACACAAAAAATTAATCAATTCCTTTAGAACTTTTTTGTTATCCCATGAATATATATATATGTGTGTGTGTGTGTGTGTGTGTGTGTGTGTGTGTGTGTGTGTGTTGTTGTTGTTGTTATGTTGTTAGGTGCTGTTGCATTGGAAAGACTCCTAGCGACCCTATGAACAAAAGATCTGAACCCTGTTCTATCCTGTGCCATCCTCACACTTCCTGACACACAAGAGCCCACTGCAGCAGTCATTAACTATATCAGTCCATTTGGTTGAGGGTATTCCTCTCCTTTGCTAACCCTTCCCTATTCCTAACATCATGTCCTTCACCAAGAAATAGCACCTCCTAGCAACATGTCTAAAATATGTAAAGCGAAGTCTCATCATTCTTGACTCCAAAAGAGTATTCCAGCTGTACCACCTCCAAAATATATCTGTTCATTCTCTTGGCCTTCCATGGGATGTTCAGTGCTCCTCTCTAACACCACAGCTCAAAGATGTCAACTCTTTTTCTGTCATCCTTATTCATTGTCCAGGTCTCGGATGCATAGCTAGTAATCAGAAAGACTGTGGCCTGAATCAGACAAACCTTAGCCCTTAAACTGACATCAGTACTCCTCCATAATATATAAAGGTACTTAACTGCAGATTTTCCCAGTGCAACTCATCCCCTTTTCTTGTTGTTCATACCAAGGGTGTTAATTGTGGATCCAATTAAGATGAAGCGGTTGACAGTTTCAATCTCCTCTCCAACCATTATGACATAGCCTATGGGTCCAGTGGTAAGAATGTTTGCTTTCTTGATTTTGAGACATAATCCATACTGAAGGCTTCATCATTTGATCTTCTGCTACACTTTCAGCAAGCAAGGTTGTGACATCTGCATAATGAAGGTTGTTGATAACTATCCCACCAATCCTGTTACCACACTACTCTTCATAGAGTCCAGCTTCTCAGATTTTTTTTTTGCTCAGGAATATAGACCAAACAGGGATGGAGAGAGAACAGCACCATGAAGCACTCCCTTCCCAATTCCAAACCATGCTGTGCTCCCCTGCTCCGTTCACACAACAGCCTCCTGATCAAGGCATAGTTTCCTCATGGGCACAGTCAAATGCTCTGGAATTCCCATTCTTTTCAATGTCAGCCACAACTTGTCATGATCCACATAGTCAAATGCCTTTGCATAGTCAATAAAGCATTGACATTCTTCTGGTATTCTTTACTTTCAGCCAGGATCCATCTGACATCAGCAATGATACCCCTGGTACCATGGCCTCTTCTAACTCTTGCTTGAACTTCCAGCAGTTCCTTATTTATGTACTGTTCCAGCCATTTCTGAATGATCTTCAGCAGTAATTTGCTTGCATGTAATATCAATGATTATTGTTTGATAATTTCCACAAGGGAATAAAATGGACCTTTTCCAGGGGCCTTATTTTTTGGCAATGTCTTCAATGTAGCTTCTATTTACTCCTTCATTACTTTTGGCTCCTGTTCATATGGTAACTCCTGAAATTTTTCAGTGTCAATCAATTCTTTCTGGTATGGCATCTGATCTCATTTATAATCAGATTTGGGTGGGAACTGATTAACTGTCCTTGATTTTGTTTACAATCATCTGTGGTAGGAAGCCTCTTAGGTAGAGAAACAGGACCTGTTGGGTGGATCTTTGTATTTAAAAGTCAGTTGGGCCCTCCAGCCTGGTATTGTGTCTGGAGAGAACATTGTTCTTTGTAGTGCAGCACTTGTCAGTCAGTTTGCTGTACTGAGATTACTTGAGGTTGCTATGATACTGAAATCTGTGCCAGTGGTGTGTCAAATTCCAGAACGGTTTCTCATCATGGACAGGTTTTGGTGAAGCTCCTTGATTAAAACAGACTAGGAAGCAGGATGGGCCATCTACTTACTAAATAAAAGGCTTTTGAAAACTCTATGAACACTTAACAAAGAGGATCATTATAATTGTGTAGTGGTAGAGGCCAGATGGGAAGACAGTTGATGTGAGGAAAATCAATAACAAACATCATTTAACAACTGGAACATGGAATATATGTAGCCTGAATGTTGGAAAAGGGGAAATTGTTAAAAATGAAATGGAACACATTAATATTGACATACTAGTCTTTAGTGAGATGTGATGGACCAGCTTTGGCCACTGTGAATCAGATAATCACATGGTATAATAGGCAGGGAATGAAAAACAGAGGAAGAATGGTGTTACATTCATAGTTAAAAAGGCAATTACAAGTTTTATCCTGAAATACAATGTTGTGAGTGATAGAATAATATCCATACACATACAAGGAAGACTCATTAACCCAACTGTTATTCAAACACATGCCCCTACATTTAGAGCCAAAGAGGAATAAATTGAGAAATTTTACCGAGCAAATTTTCAGTCTGAAATTGACCGAACATGCAATCAGAATGTTTTAATGATAATCAGTGACTGGAATGCAAAAGAAAGAAATGGTGAAGAAGGAAAAGTAGTTGGAAAAATATGGGCTTGGTGATGGAAATATAATGACTGAATTTTATATTTACAGTGATTTATTCATTGCAAATACTTTTTTCTAAACAATGCAAAAGACGAGTTTATACATGTATTTCACTTGATGGGCTGCAGAGGAATGAAACTGACTACATTTGTGAAACAAATTGTTGGAGAAGCTCAATATCAGCAGTTAAAACTAGAATATACATAATTTAAAATGTCATGTTTGAATCAGGAGTACCTTACTCTTTAAACTGGCATCCTTTTTGCCTAGTATTTTAAAAGGGTTCTTGATGGTAGATTTCCCCAATGCAATACACCATTTTGATTTCTTAACTGGTGCTTCCATGAGTTTTGATTGTGGATTCACTAAAATTAAATAATTGACAAATTTTAATATTTTCTCCAATTAGCATGATGTTTTCATTGACCCAGTTGTGAGGACTTTTGTTTACTTTATGCTGAGGTGTAATATATTCTGATGTGACTTCTGGTGACCTAATGGATAAGGAGTTGTGCTGCCAACCTAAAAGCAGTTGGTTTGAATCCACTGGTGAAAATCACCTCTTGTGTAATTTATACGCTCTGAAAACCCACTGGAGAATAGTCAATGAATCAATTTCAACTGGACTTCAAGAACAGGGGTTGGGATGTGGGTGGAGGAGATAGAAATAGAGAGAAAGAGAGACAGGTACAGACAGACAGACACTAAACCTGAAGGTTATTGTCTTTCATGTTTCGTGTTGTTATTTTAGTAAGTGCTTCTAGTCCTCTTGGCTTTCATCAAGATTGTGCCAGCTACATAAAGCAAATTGATGCCATGATTTTCTTCATATGCTCCAGCTTCTCAGATTATTTGCTTAGCTTAAATTTTGAATAAATATGGTGACAGGATGTAACCCTGACAATTTTTTTCTGACTTTAAACTATGTAGTACTTTCTTGTTTTGTTTACACAGCTTTTTAGCCTATGTTCAGGTTTTGCATGGTCACAATTTAGAAATTCCAATTCTTCTCAAGGTTATCCAAAATATATTATGATACACACAGTGAAATATCTTTGTATAGTCAACACACCACCAGTAAACATCTTTCTGGCTTTTCTGTGCTTTCAGACAAGAGTAACTTGGCATTTGTAATTTATATCCTTAACTCCAAGCCATCTTTTGAATACAGCTTGAACTGACAGTGTTCTGATGATATACTAAGCCAGCCATTTTTAATTATTTTCAGCATTATCTTAATTATTTATGATGTTAATTCATAATGTCCACATTTTTTTGGAGCATCTCCTTTTTGGAACACACATAAATGTGATCTCTTCCAGTAGCCGATTCAAGTAGCTGTCTTCCAAATTTCTTGATATAGCTGAATGAGCTCGTTCAGGACTGCATGTTTAGCTGAAACACCTAAACTGGTATTCTAGCAATCCCGAGATGCTTGTTTTTTACCAATGCTTTCAAAACTACCTGGAATCCTTGTAATACCTCGTTCTTGATCATATGCTACTTCCTGAAATGGTTCATTGTCTTCTTTGGTACAGTGATCTGTGTCTTCTGTCCATCTTCGTTTGGTCTTCCTGCATCCTTTGTTTTATTTAACTTACCTATATCATTTGTGATTCAACTTGGGCTAAATATATGAGTCCATCCAATTTTCAAGAAATACAGAAATATACATGCAATGTACTTCATGTCTAAAGGTATTCCTTAAACAATCTCAATTTCTTTATAAAAATATAGTAGTGACTGGATCAGTAGTTGTAACTTGGGTGGAAGGGTGTGGGTGGATTTCTCATACTTGTCATCAATTTCTCTCCCCTAATTTCTTTGTATTGACAACTTTCTCAAACTCATCCAAATGTCTCCCCCAAAACAAACAAAATAAAACTGTCATTGGATAGATTCCAACTCACAATACACTTTATGTTTTGTGTTGTGTTCACAGGGGTTTTCCTGAGTGTGACTTATTGGAAGTATGTCACCAGGCCTTTCTTCTGAGGTGCCTTGGTGTGTAAAAACCACCACCTTTTTGGTTAGCAGCCACATGCATTTAACTATTTGTACCACTTAAGAATCCTTATCTACAGTTATAGAAAATCGCTTCTGTCCACCTTTCCATTGTGACTTTGCTTCACTACATAGAATTCTAGTGTTTCTATTTAACTCATAAACATCTTTACCTTTGTTTTCCATTATAGGTTGAAAAGTATTTAAAGTCCAAGTTATTCAATTGTATTTAGGTTTCAAATAAAGAAAGAATTCATTTCCCATACCTCCTCCTTCTTTGTGAAGATGAGTGAAGAAAGCACTACCTGAACACCAATGGGGCACATTAACAGTGCTGCATACTAAAACAAAAGAAAAACAGAGATAACAACTATACTTTTACTTCATATATTATGTGGTAAAACTAACATCACATAAAATATAAAGCTTGAAAATAAACAGAGATATTCTTGAGGTTTCATAAAATTATTGAAATAGAATGGGCAGTCTCCTTCCATAAAGAATCCTCATGATTTCCAATTTTCTTAGATGAATATTACATACATTTTACATTCTGATTATTTATGGACATTTGGAGCTGTTTCTTTGCATTTTAGAAAATGAAAATCATGAAACCTTTTCTTCCACTACATCATTACAACTACCCCCCAAATAAAAACCCTCATTGCCATCAACTTATTGATGAGCAATGATGTCAGCTTGAGGACTAAGGAGCACCTGATTCAAGGTCATGGTTTTTCCAGTCACTTGCTATGCCTCTAAGAGCTGGACGATGAAAAAGAATGACAGAAGAACTGATGCCGTTGAACTGTGGTATTTGAGAAGAGTATTGAATATCCCATGCACTGCCAAAAAAACCCCAGGTAAGTCTTGGAGAAAGTGCAGGCAGAGTGCTTCTTGGAGTCAAAGATGATGAAACGTTATCTCACATATTTTGGGCAAGCTGCTAGAAGAGATTGTTCCTTGGAAAGAGATATCATATTTGGAAAGGGAGGGACAAACAGCGAAGGAGAGGAGGACCTTCAACTAGGTGTATTGTCAGTATGTCACAATGGGCTCTACTGTGTGAAGATGGCATAGGACAAGGTTCAAATCTGTTGTTCATAGGTTTGCTACGAGTTGTACTCGAGGAAACCTAAAACAACAACAATCAAGTGTGAGCCAATTCATTGTTGACACTTTATTGGAGTTTTTGAGGATGTAAATCACATGGGAGGAGACTGCCCATTTTTCTACCTCTCAGGGCCATTGGAAGATTTGAACTGAGCCCGAGAGGTGCCACTTCCCTATGAACCACATAACTGGAGCTCCATAATTAAGATTTAAGTCTGAGGAGACAGTTTACTCCCAGATGTTCTGAATGTCTTACAATCCGAGGGTACTCATCTTCCAGAACTGTATGTTACCCTGCTATTCATAACATTTTTCTGGTCAAATTAAACAGGCAAACAAAATATGGTAGAAAGTAAAACATGTTCACCATGGAGTATCCGGAAGGGAGAGTAAGAGTCTTTGCTTATTGTACTAACACATGAATGAGAAATTTTAGAGCTCTACATGTTTTCTCTCTGTTGTTTCCCCTTTCCATTCACTCCTTCAATCTCTACTTTGTACTCTTACAATAGACTAAAGAAAAGTCAGTGTCAAGAAGAAAATCAATATTTTCCTGCAGGCATTTCCTATATTTATTTCCAAAAGTGTAGGTCTATTCATAAAATTATGCTAATGTCCTAGAATTAGACAAGACGGGATTTGAGAAGAGTGATGTCCTATGAAAATGATAATAAGGTATACTTTTTTTTATTAAATTTTAATGAAAGTTTACAGAGAATTAGGGTTTCCAGTCACTCACTGTGGAACTTTTCTCTCTGCCCACCTCCTCCCCCCAATTCAGTCTTTTCTTTGAAAAGTAAAAGAAAAATTATTTCATTGTTCTATAACCCCTCCCCCCAAGTTCACTCCCCTGTGCAGCCTTCATTCTGGACTCCTGTCATAAATAAGGTATACTTTAACACTAAATTGATCTGAGACACTGAATGGGAATAGGGGAATAGATTTCAAAAATAAAAAGGCCAAAGATTAGCTTAACAATGGGCAACAGCTGATCTCTATGTTACCTGTGACTCTTTTAGTTGCTAAGCCATTGGTGAAGTCTGAATATCTCTGGGGGAGAATACTGCCAGAAAAGAATGACATAAATGCTATTTATACAATGCCTTTGTAGTTTCACTGGTATATTCGCACAACACTATTAAAAGTTAAGTAAGCAGCTCTGCTTTTACAACTCCAGGTCATTCAAACAACACAGAGAGAAGATGTAGATGGTGATGTGGGTGGAGAAAGGGGATGTTTTGGTGGTAGTCAAAAGACAAGAAGACAAGACACTCACTCACTCACTGTAATTGAGTCAGAACTGACTCACAGATGACCCTCGAGTGTGTTTTCTGAAAATGTAAATCACAGGAGAGGAGACTACTCATCTTGACTGAGTATCTGAAGGATTCAAACCACCAGCGAGGCACTGCCTTTGGGTTAACAGTGCAACTCTCCATGGACTACGCCTTATGATAGTTAAGAATCCCTGTACTCTTCCTGGTAGAAAGCCAGAAACAAAATGATTGGTTCAATTTATTATCTGCTTGCAAGATAGTGGTCATAAATTAAAATTAATTTTCCTTAAAGGAAATTAGAATTTAAAAGTTACATTTCATTGGATTTTATGACTTATGACTCATACTTGTCATAGACATAAATGTTGCATTCAGTTCTATACTCCTGATTAGAATTTATCTTTTGAAGTTGCATGTAAGGGGTTAGAGGTGGGAAGGTGTGCTAGCTGCAGGCCACAGCCCAGCCCTCTCAGGAGTATAATCCTCTTTATAAAATAATAAATTCTGATCCATATTCTAATATAGCATGTCACACAAAAATACCCACAGGGGAAGAATGAGCTAACTACAAGTCATTGTTCTTTTCTATGATAAGGCATACTGCTCTTTGACATTAACATGTTTTATTCTGATTTTAGTCTTTGGGATTTTGCATATGATTAGACTAATTCTAGTTCACCCTAGGAGATGGATACCTCTTGACTCTAAGTGGAAAATTAAATATTTCAGTCTGAGGTGCTGAAGAGTTGATGATTTGATGCATGCAAAACTTGCTAATAAAATAGAGTCTTCTTGGAGTCCTATTGGCACCATCTGTGGCATGCTGCACTTCCACGTCCAAGGCCGTGTATCTCTGGAGGTTTGCATCCATCAGTAGCTCAGAAGAAGAAAGATGGTCAGTCTCCTTCTGCGTGATTTCCAGCCTGTGAAAACCCTCTGAAGTGTCAGCTACAAGTTTTTCTAGGTCATAAATACACATTATACTGAACTGACATAGCGACAAGTATCATTCTTGCTCATCTGTATGAAATCTAAGTTTCAAAGTTGGATGTGAAATACATACCAGAATTAGAAGCCATCGGATTTCTTTGTGAATTCCCAAATAACCCAGGAGACAAAAAAGAACAATAGCAGACCCCGTTCCAATCATCATTTGAGAACTGTATGTTATAAAGTGTTTATTTTCATCTGTGAATACACAAAAGGACTTATGAGGTGGCATTTTATTTTCTATTTAATAATACACACAGAAACCAAGGTTTCCCCAAGCAACTATTGCCAAATCACTAGAATGCTTTTAAAATGCCAATCTAATCCCTTTAACTCTTGGTAACAACTCTTCCACCTTTTCTGATAATCTCAAACTGTTTCATTTTACCTCAACTTCATGACTTAATAAAATGCATCCCCCCCAGATGGCCTCTTCTATATTAGCACAATTCCAACATTCATATACTCATTCACTCAAAAATCTTTAAGTACCAATTGTGTGGGTTAGGAGGTTCTTGTATGATATCCTGAATTAATTACTACTGATAGTCCTCTCCACACCATGTTTTATACTCTCCTCAACTAAACCATGAACACTCAGGGTTTGATCATGGGTGGGTTTGCATCACCACTGGGACATTCTTAGCTACGGAAAACACAATCTTTTATAATTGGTTGAAGGAAACCTGCTCTTGGTCTTAGAGAAAGAAGTCATCATTATTATACTGGGAAGTAAACAAATCTTCAACTTGTCCCTGAGAGACAGACTGTCTTAAATACTTAGTGCTACTATAACAGAAATACCAAAGTTTATTGTGTTACAGTGAAAGACTAGAAAATGATATCTCTGAATATGAGATGCTAAGGTCCAGATTTGATGTACGGAAAACTTACTAAATATGAATTTAAGGTGCTCTTCCTTTCTATTTCAGTTTCAAATAGCTGCTAGGAATCCTTGATGTTCCCAGGTTGGATCATCAGTTAACTTCTTTGTGTGTCGCTTCAGCTTTTGTTTTTTTTTAACATAAAATTTTTATTTTATACTAGTTTACTTACATTGTTGTTGTTGTTGTTATGTGCCGTCGAGTCGTTTGCGACTCATAGTGACCCTATGTACAACAGCCCTAAACCCTGCTCTATCCTGCGCCAACCGCACTGCCTCTGACACACCCATCCCGATTACCCCAGTCACTGAATCAATCCATCTCATAGAGGGTCTTCCCCTCCTGCGCTGTCCCTCTACCCTACCAAGCATGATGTCCCTCTCCAAGGACCTGTCTCTCCTTACAACATGTCCAAAGTATGTCAGACAAAGCCCCAGAATCCTTGCCCCGAATTCCTCCAAGGAGTAGCCTGGTTTGACCCTCTCTAGGATGGATCTGTTTGTTTTCTTGGCAGTCCATGGACCATTCAATACTCTTCTCCAGCACCACAGCTCAAAGGTGTCAATTCTCCTTCTATCCTCCCTAGTCACTGTCCAACTCTCTGATGCATAACAAGTGATTGCATAGTTCATATATATTGTTTTTCACACTGGATCTGACCTATTTCCTTAACCCACCCCTCCCTCCACTCATCAAATTATGTGACCCTGTGATTACCCTCCCCCATCCTCACTCCTCTGCTCCCCCTGCCTTCGATCCTCATACACATTTTACTAGTTATCTATTTCTACAATAATGGTCTCACATAGTGTTTGTCCTTATGGCACTATATGAGTTCACTAAGCATAATGCTCTCCAGTCCCTCCCAAGTTAGGTAGTGATTTACAAAATCATTACTCCTGTGTGCTGCATAGTATTCCATCACGTGAATGTACCATAATTTCTCAATCCATTTGTTTATGGTTGGACATTTGGGCCATTTCCATATTCTTGTAATGGTGAATAATGCTGCTATGAACACTGGTGTACAAGTCTCCATTTTTACCTCTTTTCTCATTATCCTGGAGTATATTCCAAGCAGTGGAATTGCTTGGTCATATGGAATTTCTATGTTCAGCTTTCTGAGGAAATGTCGCACTGCTTTCTGCTCTTTTTGTAACTCACACGTGGTAAGTTTTAGGACACATCCTATACTGGAATGTTATTATTAGCATGATAGAACTCCAAACTCAAACTCATTGCTGTAAGTTGCAAAGAATTCATAGCTAAACCTCTATTGGTAATCTTTCTCCCAAGGAGTTGGTGTTGGATTTTAACCCCTAGAGAGGCACAGCTTTTGGATTAGGAGCACAACTCCCTGAGGAAATCTCTTTTTCCAAACTGGCTTATATTTACAGGTACAGGGGTTGGGATTATCGTGCATATTTGGGATTAGGGATACAATTATTTCAACAGTATATATTTTAAATTTTAGAAAAAAAGTTGTATGGAAATATTTTGGTGGTTGTTGTTATGTACTGCCAACTCAGATCTGATCCATAGCTGACCGTCCAGCAGTTTTGAGAGGTAGTAAATCTCAAGGTGTGCGACTGGCCATCTTTCACCCACGTATGGAAATAAAGGGCTGTAAGTATTTCAATGCTCTTGGTACCATCAACCAGGAAATCAAAAGATGAACTGCATTGGGAAAATCTTGCTATTAGGGACCTCACCAGAATACAGAATAACAATGATGATCCAGCCCATGGGCTTTGCAATTACATGCTATGCATCAGAGGGCTAGACAATGACTAAGGATAACAGAAGAATCATCAATGCCTTTAAGTGTGGTTCTGAGGAAGAGTATTGAACACTCCACAGATTGCTAGGAGAACAAACAGGTATGTTCTGGGAAGGGTGAAATCTGGCTGCTCCTTGGAGGCAAGGATTTCTAATTTCCATCTGACATACTTTGGGGATGCTACAGGGAGATACCAGTATTTGGAGAGTAACAATATGCTCAGAAGGGTGGAGAGACAGTGCAAGAGAGGAAGATCCTGGATGAGATAGATTGAATGAGTGACTGAGGTCATGGGGGTAGGTGTGTCAGAGATAGTGAAATTGGCTCAGGATGGATTCGGCTGCAGAGCTGTTTGTATATAGGGCTGCTATGACTGATTGTCAACTTGATGGCACCACTTCAAGAAATTCTAGAGACTACGGGGCAAAGTAGTTATTACGTACTGTCAGGTTGTTACTGACTCAGAGATGACCCTCTAGTGGGTTTCAGAGGCAACTAATCACACAGGAGGAGATTACCCATCCTTTTCCTTGGACCAATTGTGAACCAGTTGACTTACATAATAAATTCAAATCTACAGATCCATAAAGGTCAAAGATTATTAGAACAATCTTCAACCTCCTCGTTCTCTGATGGCTTTTGTCCAGCAAAATTTCTAGTTCTTTTCTCCTAAAAACCTTTCTCTTAAAATGAGCGTGCAAATACCTCTAGGAAGAAAACTGGCTGATACGTAATGAAGTTTAGTTTAATGCTGCCACCTGCTGAATAAATCATAACTGCAGTGACTGAAAATTTAATATCTAATTTATTTCATTTTGGAGGAAGCAAAAATAAAGTAGATACATACCCAAAACAATTAAAAAATTGTTTCTGTCTAATAAAAGCCATGCACCAAATCCCATGAGTAAAAGTCCAAGAATCTAGAAAATAGACCATTTTTTTAGTAGTGGCACAACAAAATAAACTAATTTTTAAACTAAGTAATTATGAAGATAATTACCAAGAAAGCTCCATTGATGAGGTTAAGAATGTATTTAAAAATGAGTATTTTATTTTTCTTTAACATGTTTTTTCTTCTTCAAAAAAGGTTAATTCTGAAAGAAAACCCCAAATTTTACTGTAAGCATTCACTTCAATAACAAACTTAAGTAATTCTGCCTCTTTATGTTTTTTTTATTTTCATAATTTTCTTTATCAGTTTTTCAGAACACCATTTCTTTTTTCATAAACTTCAGGTCATATGGAAAATATCTGAAAATTCTACCAGTCTTTCTCTATATGATTTTTTCTTTTGTCTAGGCCTTCAAGATGAACTTGAACACCTAGCAGTTTTCAGAAAGGAAACTTTGTTTCCAGTCTTAGCAAATCTATTTGCTTTATTGAAAAAAAAACCTTTCCTTCACCTCAGCTTTCCCTCACCTTGCAAGGAATAATGCTGTCTTCTCAATGAAGTCTAAGGATAGTAGTATTTCCTCAACTATCTTTCTGTTGTCTTCCAGTACATCTTATACACCATTAAAACTCAACTCTAACACATATTATGTAATATTTATTGAGTTATTGATTAATGATACTATTATTTTAATGTACAATTTCATTTTCACTATATTTTAAAGGGATTTCTGGTGGCATTGTTTGTACAATTTACAGTTTTACAGTTACCCCAAAGGTCACACTTTGCTGGCAGTGGGAATCCACAAGTAGGTCTTCAGGAAGATGGGGAGTGTCCTCTCATGCATCTACAGCATTAGAAACCCATTGGACGGTCAGCTAGGAGTCAGAACCTACTTGAAGTTACTATGTAAAAAAGAAAAAAAAAGTGTGAAATGTATTTTTAATAATTTTTTTTTTATTTTCCAGATAGTAAACTTGAAAATTTTATAGAGGAATACTTACTTCATTGCTTTTTTGTACTTTGTTTTCTAGATATGAAAGTTTAAAATCTTCTTGGATCTAATTCTGAGTGTTCCCTTCTATATCTTTGATGTATTTTATCTCAAGAATGATGTTTGTAAAAGTATATTTTGTTTATAAATATATTAAATAGCACAGACTGCCAAAAAACAAACAAACAGGAAGCACCCCAAAACAATCAAAATCAACCAAAGCAGATGTGTCTGGGGGTAAGTGCAGCCAGAGTTCTCCTTGGAGGCAAGGATGGTGAAACTTTGTCTTCTATATTTGAGTATGTTACTCAGGAAGATTATGCCTTGGAGAGTGATAGGCTTGGAAAGGTGGATGGTCAGCGAAAGAGAAGCCCCTCAATCAGGTTGACTGACATGATGACTGCAATAATGGGTAGTGGGTCAGAGATGGTGAGGATGGCACAAACTAGAAGGGGGTTCAGCTCTGTTGTTTATAGGGTCGTTATGAATTGTACTTGACTCAATATCACCTAATAATAAGATTAGATTAATATAATTTTAATATTTGAACAGTATAAAATTAACATGATAGAAACAGATATAGTAAGATGAATCTGAAATTCTTTGTCCCTAACTGTCAGGTTGTTATTAGGTTCAACTATAAGGGAACTCTGGTGGCCTAGTGGTAAAGAGCTGCACTGCCAACCTTAAGGCATATGGTATGAATCCACTAGCTACTCCACAGGAAAAAGATGGACAATCTCCTCCTGTCTGATTTAATGCTTCTAACAATTTACTGGAGGGTTAACAATGTTGACAAAAAACTTTCCAAATATTAAATCCTAACCCACATCAGTACTCTTCTAAAAAAAAAAAGTAAAAAGAGAACTTACAAATTGGGAAACCATATTTGGCAATGACGTCTCTGACAAGGGAGTGTTGAAATTTCCACACTTCAGACAAAGACAAACAACCCAAAATGTGTCGAGGACATGAAACAACACTTCTGTAAAGAAGATATTTAAACGCCAGCAAACAGGGAGAAGTGTGTTTTATCACTAGCTATTCAAACTCTACCTATTGTCATAAAATATAACACATTGAGCTATTCTTCATTATGTATTTCAAATTTTCAAATTATTGGCTCAGCATATAATTTGAATATATATGGAGAAAGGATACTAGCTTGACATGTACCCTTCCTGATTTTAAGCCTTCAGTATTCTCTTATTCTGTTTGGAAAATGGCTTCTTGCTCTATGTATGTTTCACATGAGCACAATCAAGCGATTTGGAATTCTGAGTAGTTGTTGGAAAACTGCAAATCAACACAATGAGATATTGTCTTACCTTATAGCTCTCTTAGTTACAATGTTGTTGTTATGTGCCGCCAAGTCGTTTGCGACTCATAGCGACCCTATGTACAACAGCCCTAAACCCTGCTCTATCCTGTGCCAATCATATTTCAGTAGGGAGGCACAGAGGGGAGACTGCAGCAACAGCATCTGACATGCCTACAGGTACAAGCCCCAAGGCGAGGCCAAATTCAGTGGGCCCTCGGGCAAAGAAGAAAAATACAATCTATACAGAAGTTCTGCAGGACACATCACCTACCTTTCATAGACAGTACAACTAAACTTAAGAGACACTGTACACAGCATAAAAATTTTCAGCAGTTAACGTGTTTGCAATCACAGAAGCCAAGGAAGCTTCAGATACAAGCTGTCAGATCATGGGTTGGACAATGGAAGATAAATTCTGAAGGGATTTGGTAGAAGTGAATGGGTATCCTGGTGGAGGGTAGAGCTGGGAAATAAGCAGGTCAAGGCACTGGGCTAAGGGCAGGGACACTCCACAATGAGGGATTTATCTTTCACTGCTCCACATATTGCTTGTCTGTCAGATACTCCTCTAAATCTAAACATTCAGATTGACAGACTAGGAAGAAGGATTGGCCATCCACTTCTGAAATAGCAGGCCTCTGAAAACCCTATGTACAAACCTTAGTTACAATAGCGAAGTTTAATTAGATAGAAAACATATGCTGGTGAAGGTGCAGAGAGATTGAAACACACACTGATGATGGGACTGAAATGGCAGCATGATTCTGGAAAATAGTATGCCATTTCCTTTAAAAAATATGAGGTGGAAATACCATTTGATCTAGGAATTTGATTACTAGGTATACGGTCTGAAAAAATTATAAGAGTTGGGACATGAACAGATATGTGCACTCCATGTTCACTATAGAATTATCTACAATAGTAAAGAGATGGAAATAACCCAGATGCCCATCAACATATGAACATTATGCTATGATAAATATATACAATGCAATACCATTAGGTGCTAAAGAATTACTCAGAATTTAATATTATTTAAGAATTACAGAATAACATTAATGTATTTGGGAAACATTATGGTGAGTCAACGAAAAAGTTCTAATATTGTATGAGTAGAATAATATTTAAAAAAGAAATCTAAGGAAAGTTTTTGTCTAAAAAAAAATATGGGCCATGAGGGCACAGGGCCATGAGTGTCTCTTTGAAAGGGCCAAAGGGAATAAGACTAACATAGCCCCTCACTTCCCCAGGCAGAAAGTAAATTAAAAAAACCCCATAGCCCCAACCCTATCTTGCCTCTAGAGCCATACCATCAGCAAGAGGTTATTCATTGTCAGCTCACAGATTTACTCACACTTGTGGTTATGAGAATGAGGTTTATTAGGGAAATAAGTTGGAGAGGGGGGTGAGGCAAAGAATACAAGTCCAGGTTTAGTCTAGCTGTGCCAAGCCAAATTACCAGCAAAACAAAATTCCTAATTAGTAAAAGTCCTGGTTTCCGTTCAACATCACAAATTCAAGAAGCCTCTGGTTTCCTCAATCATCCAATAAGATTTGCCTCAGAGTAGTTATAAGTCAGCTTCTCCTCCCATCATCTGTCAAGAACAGCAAAAATCTTTAACTGTGGCTTTTATCTCAGAGCTCCACTGATTACACCTTGCCACACTTTCTCCACAACAATGCTACTGTCTCTCCACTACCATTACCAGGGTATCGCCACTCCTAATGGCTCACTCTCAGCAGAGTCTTGCTCCAATCTCTGTCAAGTCTTGTTCAGTGTAACAAGCTCTCTCTGGTTTATCCTAGTCTCACAGCTGTTGATGATTTGCAAGCTCATATGTCTGTAGTTAAAGTAGCTAGAGACCAGAGAGGGTTTAATTTAATGGCCAAAAAAAGACAACGTTAGGCTAGTACCTCATTTTTTACAAACACAAAGGAACATTCTTTGATAGTTACCAGGGAAGAGAACGGAGCAGGAGAAGGATGAAACTCAGAAACATATTAATCTGAGTGAAAGAGAAGGAAATATATATTTATATTATCTCCTTACACATATAATCTTGCAATATTAGTAAAAAGAAGTAGTAATGTAAAGTGGATACACAGGCAATCAAGTAAAATTAACAGATATGAACAAAGAAAAAAGACTGTATCTATTATAAATAGAGAATTCTGGTGCTCTAGTGGTTAGGAGCTGTGCTGCCAATCCAAAGGCAAGCAGTTTAAATACATCCGCTGCTTTGGGACAGAAAGATGATCAACCTACTTCTGTGTGATTTACTGCCTCTGAAAACCCACTGGAGCATCAGTTATGAGTTGGTTCAGACTCCACGGCACATAACAACAGTATGATCACACATACATATAGCCAGATGGCATTTCTATATTAATGGCTGGTTTAAGTATCCTATCTATGTAGTGGAGTCAACGTTATGTAAACTTCCTAATCACAATCAAAGATCCCAAACAAATTAGTTCCTGGTCCTAGGGTCTTAGAACCATGTCACCTGGGGTCATCAATACAATGTTTTACATTGTATTTTGGTGAGTAGTGTACTAACTTGGATCTTAAAAAAGTTTCTATGATTGCTCTAAGGTACTACTCTTTGTCTTTTTATGCCCTTAAAAAATAAGAGAGAAGAAACGCAAAAGTCTATGGAAAGAATTAGTTCAAAGGACAAAAGGATTATGTGAACTTAAATGGCAAATGTCCATGATCCAGAAATCAGAAGAATTACATGGTGCCTGGCTGTTGACCATTCTAAAAGGGAGCACAGCAGGAGGTCCTAGGTAGAGTAGAAGAAAAGAAAAATATGACCAAAAAGTAAAACCAAAGAAGAACTCATGCTTTGAATTATG